GACTGATTCTCGGTGTAAACCTGCATCCAGAATTTTGCAAGATTTGCAGAGGGTTCAGAATCAGGATTAAAATTGTTCCTGTGGTGTTTGTCAAGGTCAAACCAAAACTCTTGAGCAAATGTACTCTTGAGTAAATTCCAAGGCTCAGCATATTTAAGACCTGGACTGCACACTTGTTTGGCCTTGACCCTTTCAGTGAAGCCCTTAAGCATTTTCACAGTATGAATAATGACAGTGATCTCTTAAAGATAAGGCTGGCTAATAACACTAAAACTGTTAATATGTAATGAATCATGCTGAACTGAATGTGCAGAAGTTTTATTTTGTCAGTGGTGCCTAATAATGGGAAGCAGGACTCCCAGTTCTACTTCAAACTTGTGGAGGTTTGTCTGTAAACTCGCCATGTCAGTTAAATCCTCTGTATTTATCTCAGCTGAACCATTTCTAGTATGTGTCCCAAAGTATATTTCACATCTTCCTTCTGAAATTTAGTAAATTCCACAAAGTGTTAAACAAAGAATTTTATAACTTTGCATAGTTACAGAAATTCCAAATCTAGTTTCCTTTTTTTTTTTTGTGGAGAAATTATGCCTGGAAGGAGCTCTATTCTTTAGGGATTTAAATTGTGCTGTTTATTTTTACAGTTATAATGTGCACAACGTGTGCAGTGAGTGTAAAGTAGCAGCAGCATGCTGTACATCAGAATATCTGAAATGCCATGTTAGCTACATAGGTGGAATTTGAAATAAAAAAATTATGTGATTCTTTTAATGGGTAGGCTTTGTAACCACTGTTGTTGCACAGCCGTATTCCCTAAATGCTGAGCATTATGTAATTGATTGGGCTCTGGTTTTCCTCCCTGGTCTCATCCATGCACGGCAGAAAACCTAGTAATCTGTAAACTGTGTGTGGGAAAGAGCAGGTTGGAGACTGTCCCTTGTCATTTGATATTTAAGTTTCCCTGAATGTGCCATATATTAGTTTTATTTTCCACTGTGACACCTAGCTATGAGAAAAGAACTCTCCAGAGCATCTTAAAAGACATCTTCTATTAAGGATGGAAAGAGTTAAGCAAAATGCAGACAGTAGATCTCACAGCTGGAGGTAAAAATAATATGTGTGTGTCTCTTATGCTATAATTGGAAGAGAGGCATAAGAGTGTGCAGTTTAGTTTCCCTTGCAGGAATGTTTTGTAGAAGACTGCTTGGTGGAGGTTGAATGGGAAAAACCAAGGTAGGTGGAAAGCGTACATCTGTGTCGGAGCTGTGACAAAATGTATGGAAAATGCCCGGAAAAACAAATGACTTAAGTTTTGCATAGTATTCCCTGCAGGTCATTATTTTCCCTGTGGGGAAACAGAAGTTAATACTGGAGAAGGTCAGACAACCCACTGTGGTGCTGAAGATGAATGTGAAGGCCTCCTGTGCAAGATTAATTTTTAGAAAAAGCAGCAAATCAAGAAATAGGCACGGCACCCAATTAGACTCCTACAGAAAGCGATCTGGTAGGAGCCTGACTTCCATCTGTCTGGTGCGAGACAGAAGGGGACCAGTTTAAGAGAGCTTTGCCTTTGTGGGACAAATTGCCCCTAATAAAAGGAGTGATGGAGAAAAAAAGAATGGGAAGAGTAGGTGTAAAGTCAGGAATGGGTTGTTGGATAAGGACTGCAGGCAACCTAGCACTCTGTGGTATCTCAGAAAGGGCTCCCTGTAAATGCATACTGTCATGGATTTTACTAAGTAAGGAGTTTCATGAAGTTGGATTTTGTTTAATTTAGTTGGGCCTGTTTCCAAACCAACTTGGCCTATATTTTGGCCTGATGAGTACTTGGCTGGGATGCCACCAAATCTATTGTTGGTGCTGCAAGAACTGCGTAAGGATTGATGAGTCCTTGTGTGGTGTTCTTTGCCTGGACCCCAGTCCAGGAGCCCAAGCAAAGCGTATGAAGGCTGCTGCCCAGCTGGCTTTTGTAGTAGTTAAAAAACTGACTGTGCTTTTTATAGGCACTGAGGATGACAGTTACTTGAATACATATTCAGAATCTACAGTTTGATGTTTTGTTTTGCCTAAATTGCCCTATTCTTTCCATTAGATCCTTAAATTTTCTGTTTCAGAAAAACAAACCCCAAACAGCAAACAAAACCAAACTCAACAAGTTTTTTGATACTGCTGGTACAAGACGTCTGTGATGCTCTAACTCCAGAAACAACCTTAATAAAAGTCAAGTAATTTTTGCATTCAAACACAGAGGTGGTGATTTAAACTTTGTGAACTGCTACCTGAGAAGGGATGCTTTTTAAATGTGAGCTGCATACATCGTTATTAGTGCATTTGGCCTGTTGCCCATCAAAGCACTGATTGTTTTCTACAACAGCTACTCCAGTTCCTCTCCTTTTTCAGTTTCCTATTATCTTGCATGGACATCAGCAGTCCCTGTGCCAAATTTCTTAGTTAAATCGTGGCAGTCTAGACTTACAGGAAAAGGATTTCTCAGCACTAGAGTAGATAATTGCTTTAGCTAGCATATGGCACTGTCCTTTGAACAGTGGAGATGTAGAAAGTATGTGAATACTGTCAGAAGTGAATCACTTTGAAAATTCTGTCTTGGTAGGGAAATTAAGGGAACTAGTAATGGATTTGGTATCTTAGATCTCCTGTTTGCAATGGTTCAAAACTGTGTTACTGAGCTGTTTTAAGAGATGTTGTATTTTAAAAGGATGTATTTTCTGTTTGTTTGTTTATATGCTTTGCTTAGCTTGGCCTTTTTGGGTGCATTTACTCATTGAGTGTTAGTGCTCAGTTAGGTGCTTGAATACACAGTTCCTGAGTAAATTTGTCCTTTGTATCTCATTCTCTTTATCAGAAGAGCTCCTTCAGCCAGATCTGTTGAAGAAATAATTATTTCATCAGGATTTAATGTATACCTTGATTGCACTTTGAAGACATTCTCTTGAGGAGGTTTTTATCCTTTCAACAAGGGATCATAGCATGTAAACAAGCAGATAAACATTATCTTTCATATTAATCAACAAGATGATTAAATAATAACCACAATTGTTAATTGCTACTTGGAGATAGAGGATAATGACTGTCTTGAGTTCTACAATGAGAGTACCAACAGGTAGAAACTCTTCTGCACAGTAAAGCTGCATATAATTTAGGAGACATTAGTGTTTTAATGTGCAGCTGCAACCATAGTGAAGTTGTGCAACTGTTTGCCTGGTGTCCTATTTCACATGTATGTTTTCATACTGAATGAGGTATTAGCAAGGGGATTTGAGATTTAAGCAGTTAAATCAATTCTCATTGCCACCAAAAAACTGAGGTTCTGTATAAGCCCATGCTTGCAGTGTTTTGCTTCATTTTCCTGCTGGCTTCAGGATGCAACAGGATTCAAAAGCTGCTTCTTTCCTCAGAGGCAAAAGTCTTGCTTGTCCCTCACAAGACAGTTCTGGCTCCTTCTGAGTTTGGAGCTAGAGCCTCATTTTTTTCATCACGTAAATCACTGTGTTTTTCTAAATACTGTAGTGTTTGTAGAGGGAGAAAGAAGCATGTAGGGGATCTGTCTCTTTAGAACATGATGAAGTAAAAAGGTCCAGGAATTTAACACGTAAGTTTGGGACTGTGGAGCATAGGAGTGGAAATTTTGGAGATCTGTATTGTGACTCCTGCCCATCATACTGACTAGCTGTATAATCTTGACCCAAGTGAGTAGTTTTGCTCCTCAAACACAGCCAGTTCTTTCTACTGCAACTCATTTGAAGCCAGTAGTGCTTCTGGAAGAAATGATGCAACCCTCCTGCTCTCAGTTCATTTTTGCTTCTAATCTGTATTGCAAGCATGGACCAAAATAGTGATTTTTTTTTTTTTATTTTTTTTTTTTTCCCCTGACTACCCGTTGGCTTCAGTAGCATTGTCTCAGATTGTCTACAAATGCTGATGGTGCAACACTTTGTGGTTTTGCTGGCTTAACAGTCATTCAAAGTAATGTTAAAAGACAGCATGTTGGAGGCTTCTCCAGTATGTATCTGGGAGCGGGCTACCTACTGACTGTCTTGGGGTCAGATCACACATGTCTTTATTCAGGTGGCAAAGCTCTCCTTGGCTTTGACAGAGCCGAGATTTCACCCTTGTTGCCACCCTCAGTTGCCCAGCATGTGCTCACTCACATATATTTTATTCTACTTATCTCTGCATGGTGATTTTTTTCCCATGTGAGTTTTGATGTAGAGTCGAGTTTCTGGTTTTGTGTCTTACTATACTGTTTCGTGCTGCTGATGGGAAATAGCAGAAAACCTGATTATATTCCTATTCTTATTCACAAGGAAGAACGTTACAATTTTAATTGTATGTTTTAATTTTTTCTCCTTCTTCATCTTTTATGTTTTGAAATCCTGCATTTCAAAAGCAGGATCATTATCATTCAGAACATTAAAGCATGTCTTTTTAATAGCTTTCTCTTTTAATGTGGAAGAATGGAATTGTGGAGGAAAAACCAATCTGTCTTGAAGAAAATTCTCTGTTATCTGAGGATTTTCAATGCAGCCAACAAGAGAGGATCTTGAGCTCAGCTGACTTGGAGTGTTATCCTCTGCCTTGAGTAACTTGTAGAGTACAAAGAACCACTTTCATAATGCTATCACCAGCAAAGTCCATCTGGTTGTGCCTGTGACAAGGGGATTATTTCAACTTTTTATTACGTCATTGAGATTATAGCATTTTAGGATTCAGCTGTCAAGCTGTTGGGGGAAAGAGGGGAGAGTTAGATTATAATTGAAACTCTGTTGGGGGAGAAATTAACTGACTATTTTGCCAGTAATTTTTCTACCCATGTTTCCTTCTATTAGTCTCTTGATGGTTTGTCCTTATGAAATCAGATTAAAATGCAATGACTTGATTTGCTAAGTAGGCAGTGATGACAAATGAACATCTGTTTATGTGGTCCAGATTCCCATTAACACCTAGTAACGTTGTCCTTTCTTGCTATTACTTTTATACAGAGCAGCACAGAAGCTTAACCTGTCTTCGAAGAGAAAGAAATACCATGCGCCCCTGCCACACACACACGACTTCTCTATTTATGCTACTAACTTTAGTGGCATCCTGCAGCTCTGTCCTCCCCCAGCACCACCATGCCTTCTGAGATCTGTGTCCAAAATCAAGGACAACCCTGGCATTGGAAAGGTAACTTTGGATTTCAATTTTTAAAAATAGTTTTCTAGATGAATTTTAAGAGGGCGGCTAGAAGCTTTCAGCCTAGAACAGGGTTGGATAGGCTCAATGGAAGGGTCTTGGGGTAGAAAGATGGCCACATCCATTTTGAATGTGCATGAGAGCTGTTATCTTGACTTTGGAAAGAGTTGACAGGCTCAGAGCACATTAAGTGCTAGAGTTTGAGCTACCTTGAAGTCAGTTAACATCGCTGACAGCAACACTGGCAAAGGTTGTTTTGTCCTTTCTTCTGTCAAAATACAAGATAAATTTTCCTATGACTTCATTGGTCCAAACCCAATGCACATACAGGCTTCACCTTTGGCAGAAATAGCCTCTGCGTTGCTGCTGGTGCTGTCTGTCTGCCTGAGGTTAAGGAGATACATTGAGGGGGCTTTGTTTCCCCCTGCTTCACGTGTCATTGTAAATCAGGAGTGTGGAAATGAAGCAGCAGGAGAGAAATAGATGTCTTTCCAATTTGGGATATACAGCACTTTTCAGTGCTTTGATAATTAAAATACAACCAAATTATTTCGAGCTTTACTCATATTTATAACTGTTTAATCACCCACACAGCAGAGGCTGAATACTTATTTATAGAGGTTATAAGAGCTTAGCATTCGAAGCTAGAATTGAAGTATGTAACGTGCACAGGAGACCTAAAATATGCACCTTGAGTAACCATAAAAATCATCGTTAATGTGAAGAGATTGCCAACCTAAATACCTCTAGTTGATGCTGTTACTCACAGAGACTACTCTGTATTTCTTATATCAGTGAGTTTGTGCTAAATGGAAAACAAAGGAGTAATTTGGGCTGTTTTAAGCAGGTGGAAACTCATGGTCAAAAATGTGGTTTCTTCTCCTGTTTTTCCAGTGCGCTAGAAATGATGAGGTAGTATTAAATGGTGGAATACAGCAAATCTGGCACAGTAGTTTAGAGATTCACAGGTGGAGGAGGGTTTGCTAAGAAATGCTTTCTATTTGTGTGTTTTAACAGAGCCCATTTGTTGTGCCGGCCTCTTCTCAGTGAGGCTTAGTGCTTGGCACCAGGAATAAACAAGTGTGGCATTTCTGAGGCTCTTGGCCTTACGAAGAGCTTTAAAGCATTACTTTCCCTGTGCCTGCAGCTCAATAAAACTGTCTTTGCATCTCATGGCATTTGTGTGCCTGCAGCTGTGTGTAGCCAGGAGACTTCAGCCTTTTTCCTGCACTTAGAGGGTGGCTGGTGGAGCCTACCGGTATCACTTGTGCCTGAGCACAGGCTCGTGCTCCTGACTTGAGCAAGACTTGTGGAAAGCTCTGGTTCACCTGGTGTCTTCAAACAGATCAACAAAGTCAAGGGGCATGGCAGGACCTGGAGCAGCTATGCTGTTCAGCTCTGTGAGCGTCTCCTCCAACATGGGATATGTATGTACCATGGTGGCAATGTGGGTGGTATTTGTCTCCTGATTGGCACACTAAGAATTCCTCAAATGTCTCTGTTGAAGAAACTGTTTCTTTGGGCTCAGGATTCCAGCTGTGTCCTCCTCACCAAATACCTGTTGACCCCAATTGGGAAGAATCCTCTGCTGTGGTTGAGAGGATAAGAGCTCTCTAACTGAATCAGCTCTTTAGTTCTTGAGTTAAGATCAAGACCGTTCAAATAGTGATGGGGCATGCTAGTTACTAGTTTTAGTGCTCCTCAAGAAATTAAGTGACTAGACATCTCTGATCCACAATTTAGAGCATGCAATACCTATTAAACGTCTCTTTTAACACAATTCTTTTTTGCAACTTGATAAATTAGATATAACTTGATAAATTACATATTGATTGTTACAACTTGATAATTACATATTACTTGATAAATTTACATATATGGCAATATAGCTTTCTGTAAAAATTATGAGTCAGCACAAATTAAATCTCACGTATCCTAATTTTTAGAACTTGTGTTCAAAGGAAAAGTGTCAGCCCTGTATAGGTGTTTTCGTAGTTCTAAACACTCATAGTTTCATCTTCTCTGAGCAAAGCCAAGTAGCTTTTTGCAGTATTTAGCTCACTGTGCACTAACATTCTCCATTATAATTTCCTCTTCACTAGCTTCTGCTGATCAAGATTTAGTCAGCTAGTATTTCATTATGAGGATGATGAGAATTACATTTCTTCCTCACTACCTTAAGTATCATAGCAATTGAGAGAACAGTCAGCAAACACTGACTGTGGTCCTCTGTTACCTTCAGTCCCAGCTCTCATAAGAGCTTTATAATTTACACTCCTCTTGGTTATCTTTTCCCTCGGCTTTTTTCTTACAGCCTGTTCAGTAATGAGTACCAGATACACATAGAGGATAGAATCAGTGATGGGTTCTGGAGTGACTTTTTCCTACCGCTGCATCTGGTGGCTGATGCTCTCCTTAGTTCCTGTGATCATTCCCAGGTCAGCAATGTCCCTCGCCCTGTTATTACTGTGTGGTTACACTGGGTTAAGCAGCTGATGGGGCAGCCTTTCCTTTCCTCACTTCCCAGTTTGCTGCTCTTTTGTCTTTCATGGATAGTTATGATGAGGAGGACTGGTTCCTTGCTGGTTTCTGCTGTACAGGTAAAAATGTAGCAGTCCTGATGGGCTGCCTAATTCTCGCCTGACTTCACCTTACAAAGCTGAGAGTAACCCACTGAGGACCAGTCCTTACTCTTCTCAAGGGGGTGATTTCTGTGAGCACAGATAGGTTGAAAAGTTTTAATTCCCTTCTTGTCAAATAATTTCTTTCAGAGCAGGACAGGATTCCATAGAGAAATATGCCTTTCCTTAGTACAAAAGGACTGAAGAGATAAAATTTAAGGAGAAGAGTTTATGTGAGAATTAAAAATAGAATATCAAACTGGAAACCCATGAAGTGTCCAAGATACTTCAATAGGAGCAATATGACTTGCTTTATGAAAAGATGAAGAGGTGAATGATGTCAACTCTGCAGAAATACTGTTTATTTTAAGTAAGGCCTGAATACTGCAACTAATTGTTATCTCTAATGATGCACTCTGGGTAGTCTAATTTCTTTTGTAAATCTGCTAAAAGCTTAGAGGAAAATACATGTTGAAACATTTACAGTGAACAATGTGATTTGCTTTCTGTATTTCCCCTGTGATAGTAATTGTTAACATTTTTCCCCCCCTACTGATGCTCCAGGTCGTCTTTTAGTTGTTATTCAATACATTATAAGAGACACAGGAACAGAATGTGGAAAATGTGATGTCGCTGTGGGGCCAAAGGGGAAAGAAGGACTCCAGAGGGAATCTAGAAGTATGGATACATAAGGCTGACTTTCTGAAGATAAAAAGTAGCAGGCTGGGATTAATGTGATATAGTAGGGATCAGTTGATGAAGCTTTTACAGGTGGAACATCTGCATCCGTACAAGAGTCATTGAGCATTTGAATAGGGTTGGTCTGATTAGTAGTGTGTGTTTGGATTTTGAAAAAGCTTTTGATAAGTGCTGTGACCTAAGTTTCTCAAACCCTAAGCTGGCATGTATTCTCTAGAGGCTTAATAACTGGTGGGGAAAAAGAGTGCATGTTTCACACTGGAGCGAAGTTAGCAGTGCTGTCATGTGGAAGTCCATGCTGTTTAATGTCTTCCTAAATGATTTGGGTGAGGTGGTGAAGCTGCATATTCAGAGCAGCCAAAGCTGATACTGAGCGCGAAGGCCTGGAACAAGTTGTCATGACACGGAAGTTACTGGGAGGATAAAGAGGCAGATGGCCTTTCATGTTGATCAACACAAGGTAGTGTACATGAGAAAAGGAGCTCTACCCATGGGTACAGAAATAATAACCTGTAAAGAAGTCAAGCATGACTGTAACCTGTTTTACCAGCTATTGTGGAAGCTACATTGGGTTTGCTGTCATGAGCCTGAGCTTCTAAAGAAATGGTTTATTGACCGTTCAGGAGGCAAGAAGATTAAACATCTTTAGTTTCAGAGTGTCTGTGACAGTATGTGTTACAAGTACATGTTCCTCTTCAGGTTCATAATACTTAAAGAAAAATCACTCAGTGACATTTTTTTCTCTACTGGTTTTCTTCCCTGAGGTAGTATCTTTTAAAGAAGTTTAATAGAGGATGGTGAAATGAAGAAATGTAAAGATTTCCCCTCCTCCCCCCATATTTTTACTTTCTTAGAGGGGAGATCTTGCTGTGGCTAACTGAGGGAAGGGCTGGATCCTAAGACCCCAGCATGCAGAAGCAGCAGCATTGTGCATTTTGCTGCTGGTACAGAACTGGAACTCAGTAAGCCTAAACATTTGGAAAAAAAAAAATTCAACAAGCAAATTAATATTTGTACCTGGAATTTTGTTTTCCCTATTTGATATGCACTTTCAAGGCTGCCCTACCATGACTATTGGCTGTGCCACTGAAGAAACTCCCTTTGGACAAAGCACTGATTCAGTGGAGAGCTTCCCCACTCATTAAGTCCTTTTCGTTGGTTTCAAAGTTAGACACACAAACAAGTTATTCTGGTCCCAGTGAAGGGGCAGTTGAGTCTAAGGAACTGAACTGAGCATGGGCAGCATCAGGACTATCCTGGTTGTTTCTGTGGTGTCTAGAGTTGGACAGGTCCTGTCACTAGTTGTGGGACCTTGTCTTGAATTTGTGAGCCCAATGGCCTTTTGGTGAAAGGAAGAGGCTTGAATTCTTGCTTTTTATAACATGCATGAGTAGAGCAAAGGCAGTAACTGTGCATTGTGAGAACTACTTGAGGAGGCAGGAATGTGAAAAGATTGTGATGGCCAGTTCTTGCACTTGTACTTGCACGTACTTCAGCCCAAGATCTAAATTTATTCTTAATCTCCCATCATCATCTTCATGTTTTACTGTGCTGAAATTACTATATGGCTTTTATGGTTGAATACATTTGTTATTAGAGACTTACTACAGCAGAGAGCATGTATGTATCTTCTGAAATTTCTATTTGTACTTTCTCATTGTTTCAAGTACT